ACCCTACAGATTCGATGGATGCCACTTAAAATAATAGCAAGTTCTCTACCACATATTTTGTTTAAAAGGAAGAATGATGACATACATACAGTAATGAAAAGCAGTGTATGAAAACTAGCTTCAACCCAAAAGGTCAACTATGAGGAAGTGGTCTTAAAGAGTTGACTACATGAAGAAGGTCAGGGGATAACAACAACAAAACAACAACAACAACAACAACCAGAGGGGCTTTCACCTCTGACTTTTGAAGATATTTCTCTGAGACTTCCACCAGGACTAAAAGGCTGGTCAAAACTGGAAGATGAAAGCAGGAATTGAGAAGTCTTCTTCTAGGTGCTTGGACTGGAATAGCAGGTATACATTTTCTTCTCAACAATTTCCTTGTTCGTTTTGGCTTTCTTCCACTGAAGCATATAACTTGATTATTGCTGGCACATGACTTTTTAATTTTAAACAGGTGATGAGGGATGGAGAGCTGGAAAAGAATAAGGCCATTGTCTCTGGAAGCGGCACAACCACGCCTGACCATCTCACCCCTGAAGTATAGGGAAATGATATTTTTTTTTCCTGCCTGGCTTCTGTTCAAGAATGTGACAGAAAATGGAGTGGCTTTGGAAGCAGGCATCTCCTCACCTACAGGATAAAGCTGTCTATTTCTTTCTTTTGCCAGGAGAGATTCTTCTACAGGGTTGAGAGATGTTGACGGCCCCACAAGATATTTCTTTGTTCTCCCCAGAGACCCTCTAAGCTTCAGATCTTTCGTTGTGAATGAACCAAATCCCACCTTGAAAAGATAAACAGTCCAATACAAAAGATTTCACATTCATAATATTTTACTCGTCATATTAAAACAAAGGAAATCTGTGTTTTTGTCATCCTTTCAGGAACCACTGTCCTTCGTGGTCTCTTCTGAATGTAGGTCACCTGTATTGTAAGAACTACAGTTAGTCCTCAACTTATGACTAGCGTTGAGCCCAAAATTTCTGTGGCTAAACAAGACAGTTGTGAAGTGAGTTTTGTCCCATTTTACAACCTTTCTTGCCACAGCTTTTAAATGAACCAGTGCAGTTGTTAAATTAGTCACATGGTTGTTAAGTGAATCTGGCTTCTCGTTGGCTTTGCTTGTCAGAGGCTCACCAAAGGTGATCACAAGACCCCGGGACATTGCAGCTGTCATAAATAAGAGTCAATTGTCAAGTGCCTGAATTTTGATCATGTGACCATGAGGGAATGCTGCAACCATCGTAAGTGTGAGAAATGGTCACAAGTCACTTTTTTCGGTGCCATTGTAACTTTGAACGGTCACTAAACAAATTGTTGTAAGCCAAGGACTACCTGAACAGGCAAATTATATTTGTGATTAAAAAAAAATAACAATGAATTGCTTGTGTTACTGAATGTTTTAAATAGGACATTTGCAATAGGAGAAAGTGAAAGTTGTAGATATCTGTTTGCTTTAAGAGAAGGTGTGACCAAAACTTACATTTTGGGTTTAGCTTCTGTTGAAAGAAAAATCTTCATCAGGGTCCAGTCCAAGCCGGGAATAAACAAAATGGAGGCTGTTTGGAAAGAAGGTTCTTTATTGAGTTGCCAGAAACTTCAGTGACAGCAGCATGTTTCTGGGGTGGCTGACCACATGGAGCTGGGAGTGGTGGGTTTTTATACCTTCTTGGGCTTTTGTGTTTGGAGTTGTTCCTGTTCCTGCAGCATGAACTTTGATCTGAGATTTAGTGTGCCCTTTTTGTATTCTGATGGTGGTGGGTTAATCCTATTACGTCCTAAAGATCATGTCCTGCTTCCCTGGGGCTGTGTTGTATTTTGGGGTGAGGGGTTGCTAGTTCTAGGGGTCTTTGTCTTTTTAATCCCATCAGCTCCAAGCTTCCTGGCTCCAGTCCTTCTGAAAGGATTATCAAATCTGCATTTCTACAAAGTTGGTTTCTGTTTGGGGCAGAGAGATTTGGGTGGTGGTTTCTGCCTAAGATTTTCTCCATTACTTCTTTGGGGAAATATATTCTGCCTTTTTAATATGCCCCAAAATATTTCTTTCTCGGTGTGTGTGTGTGTGTGTGTGTGTGTGTGTGTGCTATCTTCCTACACTTCCTACCTGTAGTTTGAACTGTAGTTTCCAATGCACACTTTGATACGTTGCTCAGTTGAAATTAAACATAAAAGAAAACTCCTCAGAGTTCAGTTCACTCCCCGTTTAATTTTTGCAACAACTCTCTTAAGATAAGTTCATCCAAGGAGTGACGATCCAACCAAGGTCACACTGTTTCTTCTGTAGGAGACCTGAAATCCTTCTAGCCCCTTCCCTTGATAGCTTGTCAAGTAGTGTATGTGATTCTTTGTCTTGAATCTGCTTTTCCTCTTCTGGTGTAATTAAATGCCATTTTGTATTCACTTCATGGCTGCTTCTGATAGCTCAGGCATATGTCGTCAGGCCTTCATTACATGGGGGGGGGAGACACTTCTCCACCTCTCTGATCATGTAACCCATTCAAAGTCATGAAGAACGCTAAGCACGATCCTGGGGGAATCAAATCCCTCAGCCCAAGAGGAAAAGTTAAGTTTTGATAAGGCTCCACTTCCAGGAACAGAGAGGGAGAAGATTTGAGATTGGAGGAAGGTTCGGCTACTTCCTACCTTTAAGGAGAGATTATTTGGGTTACTGAAGGATCAGTCATCAGGAAATGATTCTTTTTGAGAAAGATTAGTTAGCTTACAAAGCTGATGAGAACTTGGGCTGCCATCTGTTGCAGGTTAATTTGGGAATCTCAAAAGTGCTTTTTCAAAACGCCACTGGACTTTCTTGTTTTATAATAATAATAATAATACTAATAATAATACTAATAATAATACTAATAATAATACTAATAATAATAATACTAATAATACTAATAATAATACTAATAATACTAATAATACTAATAATACTAATAATACTAATAATACTAATAATACTAATAATAATAATAATAATAATAATAATAATAATAATAAAGTTGGAAGGGACCTTGGAGGTCATCGAGTCCAACCCCCTGCTCAGGCAGGAAACCCTACACCATTTCGGACAAATGGCTGTCCAGTCTCTTCTTAAAAACTTCCAGTGTTGGAGCATTCACCGCTTCTGGAGGCAGGTTGTTCCACTGGTTAATTGTTCTAACTGTCAGGAAGTTTCTCCTTAGTTCTAGGTTGCTTCTCTCCTTGATTAGTTTCCATCCATTGCTTCTTCTGCCTTCTGCTGCTTTGGAGAATAGCTTGACTCCCTCTTCTTTGTGGCATCCCCTGAGATATTGGAACACTGCTATCATGTCCCCCCTCGTCCTTCTCTTCATTAAACTAGACATACCCAATTCCAGCAACCGTTCCTTGTATGTTTTAGCCTCCAGTCCCCTAATCATCTTTGTTGCTCTTCTCTGTACTCTTTCTAGAGTCTCAATAGTGGAGAATGGAAGGATTTATATTTCTTTGCCATCATCTGGTTGTGAGCACCAGTGGTGGGATTCAACCGGTTCTCTGTGTGGATGCCACTTCCGGAAGTCCATTCTGGGCCTGGGCAGCAAAAAATTAGCTACCGGTTCTGCCGAAGTGGTGCGAACTGGCTGAATCCCACCACTGGTTAGCACTCTTTCTGAGAGTAATTGAGGCCACTTGGAGGTTTATCTGTGCCCTCAGAGTCACCTGAATAGTGCAAATGGGAACTCAGAATCTCCATAGACATAAATTTGGGAGGAAACCCAAGTAGTTTAAGGGAACTAATTTATTTATGAAACTAAAGAGGAAAGGGGGTTGAACTAAATGTACGAGGAAAGTGCTTCTAAAAAGCAACAACTGCCATAAATGATGATTTTTTTTAAAAAAAAAATATTTAAAATGAGTTTGGAATTAATGAAGAAACCACATTTCTTCACGGAGGTCTCACAGAAGCCATAATGGAGCAATTGTACAACTTAGTCCCAGAAATTTTCACTTAGATGTTACGTAAAAAGCTGAGCTCCCAGAATGGTTGTGTGGTGTGGTGTGGTGTCGGCAACTTAAAACAAAACTCCAGAACATTGATTTTCTCTGTGCAAAAACACACTCTTTCTTTAAGCAAAAGTACTCAGATGTGCCAACAAATGTCTTATTCCACAACAGCAAAGTGTCAATCCCATGGACTACTTTTGGGATTACATCCTTTTTTCCCCTCTAGAATGCACACAGGTCATCAAAAAAGCCAATTTGGGGACTGTGCCACCCCTCACAGTTCAAAAGCTGAATCCTTGCGTGATGGAGCTGTGCAGGTTTTATCAGCGGTGCTTCTGTACCAGAGACCGGAGCTACTCGAGGGATCACGCTATGAGGTAAATTTAAAAATGGTCTCATCTAAGTTCTTAGTCTGGAATCTAGATATTACAAGTTGTGCAGATTCTCACAAGGGACCTTTGTTTTGATGAGGAGTTGAAGGAGATACTCCTTCCAAGTTGATGCTTGAAGCAAGAGAGCTCCATGCTTTTGAGAAGAAAATCAATCCCCCATGTTGGTTTCTGGATCTTTATAGTCTCTCCTAAGCTCTACTTCCCCATCTTTTCTTATCAACCTTTGGTGAGATTGCCACAAAACATGTCCTTTTCCAGCAGAAAGCTTTGGCTATCACCATTGAACAGTACCTTCTCTTGCATGTTTTCACCCTGAGTCATCAGGAAACTTCTAGCACCTTCTAGAAAAACCATGGTTTTTCCAAACTACACCTGTGAGGCCAGGCTTATGTCACTTCAGTAATGGGTGGATAATACTATGAAGATACCAGAAGTCACTGAGGAAGAAATAGCCCAAAGATGGTTCTGCAGAGGCAAATCCATCCTTCTGGTGAACCTCCACTACCTCAAACAGGCTCAAAGCACATGAGGGAAGGAAGTTAAGAACATTTCCTTGAGTTTATATTGAAATTTCTAGATAAATCGTAAGATATTTCGGCACCTGAAATTCTGAGTGTAGAAACCTGAGGAAGGGGACCAGAACACCAGCTGCATTTGGCAACTTGAGATTTGATTTTATGGGCTTAATACGATGAAAGGGGATCTCGTCAGATTTGATAAATGGGTATTAACAGAACAAAAGTGATTCCCAGTTCATAAGTAAAAATCAAGCTTCCTCAGCTTGACAGAACCAGGAAGATCGGGCAATTTCTTTGATCTATTCAGAGAGTATGGTTTGCAATGCAGCCCAAGTAAAACCAGTAAGAATTAATAACAAAACCATAAAATATATGAAGACAGCCTAGTCCACCATCCATACTATAAGCCGATAAGAACAGAATGTTATGACTGTGAAAAGAAGAAACAGCAAATACTCTCTTTTTCCAGATTCTGATCTGTTCTGTTCTGTTCTTTCCAGCTCTATTCTGATTGATTGTTCATCCCTACCTAATATGTCTTCTGTCAGCCATATTTTGTGTGCAGCAATCAGACACCTTGGTTCATGTGTGAGAAAGATTTACAGAGGAGAAGCAACTGTTGACGGTTGTTGTCTACTCTCCTTATTTCCTATTTGAATATACAGCTGAATCTTAGCCTGGGAGAAAGATAACTAAATTTTGTTGCAGGGAGCTGTAAGATTAATGACCCCATTGGTTATTTTCTTCCTGGATTTTTTTTTTTTGGTCTTTTCGGGGAGTGCAAAACAGCTCGGTTTCTAAATCCAATGTTTCTTGGTTCTGAATTTATCACCCAATAAATTTATCATGACCTTAGCAAGGAATTAGCATATGGTTTTCATCTCAGAAGCAATAGAATAGGAGAAATAACAAGACCTCAGAGAGAATACAGGGAAAATAAAATGAATTTCTGTTCCAATAAAATCTATTGCGGATTTAAAAGCAAAGGAAGAGTTGATTTCAGTAGCCTTGGAGTAAGAATTGATTTGGAGAAGTCCTTAAGATGTTGTATTTCTATACTATAGTTCAGTATTGAAAGCAACGTTACACTCATTTTTGGAAGTCAAGTATGTTTGTTACTTTAGTTACAGACATCAGCTAAGGATTTCGATCCAAGAATACACAATTCAAAATATATCCTATATCCTATTCATCTTTTGATATTGGTTTACATTTTAGGTACTGTGTTGAAAACTATCCATGGTTCTTTAAAAATGCAGCATTTATTTGTGAAAAGGTCAAGAGATCAACTTATTCTAAGAGTAAGTAGATATTCCCATCTAGTCTATTTCAGTGGGATTTTGCTCAATGCCCATTGGGTTCAATGTTTCTTGGGTAGGATGGCACTATAATAGCATATCCTCCTAAGAAATCTATTAATGGGGTTACAGTAATAAACTGTCCCAAATTTTTCTTTAGTTCTGCAACTTTCCACCACCACGTTTTGGCAGAAGAATGGGAAAGTGGGAAGAGAGGAAAACCAATCTTAGTTTCCCTGATGATTGTTTATTTATTTATTTATTTTTATTTATTTATTTCTTGTATTTCTACCCCGCCCTTCTCCCTGCGGACTCAGGGCGGCTTACAGCCATTTAAAACAAATACTTGAATACAAAAAATACAAAATTTAAAATTGATTAAAATGAAATATTATCCTAAGGCCGAAAATTCGAAAAAATTTTAAAAACCAAATTAAAATAACCCTTAGGCCAGTCCTGCTAACTTAAATAGCCATGTCTTGAGGGCACGGTGGAAGGAGGGGAGATCCGGAATCACCCGGATCTCTGGGGGTAGCTCGTTCCATAGGGGCTCCAACAGAGAAGGCCCTCCCCCTGGGGGTCGCCAGCCAGCACTGTCTGGCTGACGGCACCCTGAGGAGACCCTCTCTGTGGGAGCGTATCGGCCGATGAGAGGTAATCTGAGACAGAAGGCGGTCTCGGAGATAACCAGGTCCGATGCCATGGAGCGCTTTGAAGATGATAATCAACACCTTGAAGCGCACCCGGAAAGCCACCGGCAGCCAGTGCAGCTCGCGCAGCAGCGGCGTTATATGGGAGCGACAAGTCACTCCCATCACCGCCCGCGCGGCTGCATTCTGGACTAGCTGGAGCCTCCGGGTGCTC